TGGGCCAGAACAGTTAGTATACCATTAAAACTACTTTTGTATATTGTTCCTACACTATACTTTTCTCTACATTTTATTTTTTCTTCATTATTCTAGGCATCATCATCACTGTCTGTACAACTGAAATCTGCCCTCATAATTGAGTTAGAAGCCTTACAAAACAAGACAGCTCCTACTCTATTTAAACCTTAACCACCCATCCAAAAAAGCTCCCTTTTCCTATATATATATATATATATATATGTATAGCAAATTAGACATTAAATAAAAGAACCCTTTGACAATGACAGGAATACAATACACAACAAAAAGACACTTTGAAAATGAAGTTACATGCAAATAAAAAACTTTTAACAATAATCAAAACATAATACACTACAAAATTAAGCTATACGAAAATACTTTATACATATCAAAAACCAAATCTCTTAAATATTGAGTTTAACGTATAAGAAATAAAGAAATGAAATAATGATCTGTACATTAAACACAAACAGTCAAAATATAAAATCTTCCACAGAAAGGAAAATAGAATATGAAAGCCTTTAAGAAAGTCGAATAAAGTTCTTAACACAGTTAAACATAATGCAAATGCTAAGAAACACCAGCAAAATATTTTAAATAAAAACACATAACACAACATACTTCATACTTCATACACAATACCAAAACGCTAAAACAGAGTATTTACACATTTACATAAAATGAATTAACTTACATAAAATAACACCAAAATAAATTCAATTTATATTATTTGTGTATGTGTACGTACACATATGCACACATACAATTCATGAGGAGGGGATTGGTCTATTTATGGGAGTTCCAATAGCAAGTCTTTCAATGTAGTGGTGGAGTTTCAATGTGTCCTGGTGGTCCAATGAAGGATTGTTTTGTAACTGACTCACTTCTCCCTCTAACTGTAATGGAGTCTCTCTATGTTTCAGCAGGTTATACTCCCCACAGTTATAGAACACCTAGATCTTTGTTAACCCGTACATGTTTTCCTGTAAAGTGACTCTTTAATACCTGGATCTGCCATGTTATATCAATATTTTTGTCAGTGGTGTGGAAAGCACTTCTACTTTCTGCTGTGGCGGGATCCCTTGTTCATAGTTGGCTTCCCTTTTACTGTCCCTCTGTCGAGGTGGAAGCACTCGGCATATATTTAAACACTAAATCCAAAGTAGAACTTAACTACTAAATTTAAAGTATCATTTAGCTTGGTTTCAGACCGTTAGAAATTCTAATACTTAACAATATATACATATATATGTGTGTGTTTGTGTACATATATATATATACATACGGAAATATTACAGACTACAACCGTAATTTGTGAACATAGTAAAATGATCGCAATGTATTTTCGATAACATAAAATATGATATTTATTTCTAAAGTGTCATAAAAAATGAATGAATTATTTATTTAATCTATGAACTAGTAAAGCATATATAATGTTTGTTTGACCAACTACATAAATTTCTCTTCCTTACAATATACTAAGTCGGCAATCTGATGTTAAGCTACATCACGACCTCGAAGTAGAATATCTGTGACTGTACAATCAAAGCAAGAAAAACAAAAACAAATAGCCTGGAGTTCATTTCGCTGGTACCAGAACGTCTTATTAACATGACCATTTGGCATACACCTTTAATATTCTATTTGAACGTATCTCACCAGCTAGCCTAGCCAAATTTTAAATTGCCGAACAACAGTATCTTTATATAATAGATACAACACTTAAAATAGGCTTTACAACTTAAACTGGTGGATAGTCTGACAACGTGCAATACAGCCTCAATCAGTGGGACTTCCTGGCAATCACATGATATGCCAGATTGTGGATGTTTTGCTTGAGCACGTGCTCCAAAATTACAAATGAGATTCTCATTCATTCAGATTTCCAAGAAGTACAAAGTAAATGACCTATGGCGAAAGTCTGGTTTGCGTTAGGCTAATACAAATTTGCAATGGTGTTTGATTGTCATTTTTCACTAAAACTATCATAAATCAATACGCGTGTATTTATTTATCATTTGGCTACTCAATCCGCTCCATACTGTTAACACCAATAACATATGCATTAGTTAGAGGGCCACTTCAGGGACAGATTTACACTGTAATATTCAATATTCTTGAAAGCTCTTCATAGGTGATTGTAAACAATAAAACTTGATTTTACTGTAACTACCTTTTAAAAATTGATATCTCTTAAGGTGATAGTTTATGTGAATTTTCTCAAATGTAATGCTTCTTACTTCTTTTCTTACAAGATAAGATAAACGTCATTTCAGCCTTTAAACGTTGCTGTTAACATTAGTAAGACAATGTTATTATTCTAATACATGCATGAAATGTTGATTTTATAAGATGTTCATATAACAAATAAAGTATTTTATATAACATAGTTTAAATAATTGAGCTAATATCGCTAAATATATTATGTTTTTTGAGTGATCGTTGATTCAACGTGAGAATATTCTTATTTTACATTTTTCTTTCTGAATGATAAATAAACTATGTTAGATGTAAAAACACCAGAAATTTGTAACCTTAGTGTGAGAATACACGATAAAAATGAGATACAACATATTATTTTTGTATAGATACTTCTTGGAAATAACTCCACATATCCCTGCCAGTTGGAATGCCAATGTTGTTTAAACCTTTATCATAAATAAAAAAAAACTTAGTTTACAAGTAATTGATATTAATTACTTTCAGAACTGAGTATGTTCTACTGTCTTTCATTTAAAATGCTTTAGCAGCTTTAAGGTTTTTGGACCCTTACTACAAAGTTAACCTGCAAGTATTCAGAACAAACCCCAAGCAAACAAGGTGAAAGCTACTAGTTATCACTTATAAAATGGTCAGCAAGAAGTTTAATTAGATAACATCAGAACAGAAGGCTTTTGGTTAATAAACAAATATATAAATATAATTTTGTAACATTATCACACAAAAGGCAGTAGTGTACATCATATACGGTGTACAATCAAGATATTATAGTCTTCCCATTGGAAACCCAAAATTGGAGTCGGTAAGGAAAGATTTTTTTAGAATTTTATCAGTCTTATTATGATGTAATGTCACAAATTGTTTATCAACACATCAGTTATCAACATGATAAGGTGCAAAAATGTAATCTTATATCGGATAAGTGTATGCAATTAAATTAAAGTAACTTGTTACAACAGCATGTTTCTTTTTTTTTAATCTATACACTGAATGCTCAATAAAACTGAATAGTTATTAAGATCTACTTACTAATTACAGTATATACTATCATACGAAGAAAACATGTATACATAATGTGAAAAGGTGAACAATTCTTTGATTATCCTCATGGTACACGTATACAGACAAACATACATACACACACACGCGCGCACACACACACACATATATATATATATATCCAAAAGACATATTAGTATCCATCTGTGAACATAAATATTATAACAAATAATAATTGAACACTTCGGTCTTTTCCTTATTATTTCCTGACTTCTTATAACATGACTTCGATAGCGATTTCCTGTTTTCTGACTTCAAATTACACGTCAGAATGCAGTTCTACATAGAACGGTAATGTCCTTTCTTGGATTCCTAGTAAAATCTTTATTTATCTGTGCACAGTGGGGAAAATCAAGCCTAACCAAACAGATAATTCACATTAAGAAAGTTTTATAGTCTTTATAGCATGGACGTTTTATAACTCATTAGTTTCATAGTAAAGAAAAATTTTGTTTTGTTTGTTTGTTCGT